CAACCACATCCTCCTCGTAGTTGTCGCCCCCTCTCACTGAGTGCAGCAGCTGCTCCAGTGGCTGCCTGCAGACCGGGCAGGCATCACTCCTGCTGGCCCACCGTCGGATGCAGGCAAAGCAGAAGCAGTGCATGCAGTATGCCACATAATCAGTTTATGGCTGTACAGGTAAGGTAACAGCAGAACTATGAATCCACAGAAATGCTCTGGATTTGCGTCCTTCTTTGTCCACGAGGTAAAGCTTTCTGGGAAATCCTAAAAAATATAATAATTATGTAGTGCAAAAAGCACTTTTTATAAAGGAAACTATATAAGAGGAAAGTGCTGTTGTTAAACCAAAAAGTGTAATCCACCCAAAATATTGGGTGCTAAAAACTTCTTAAATTTATCTTGTGCAACAGAAGGACATGGTACACCTTATGTCACACCTGTTGCTTGTTACAGCCGGTAACTGCTGCTCTAGCTTTTTAAATGTAGAAGCATCTGCTAACCAGTAAAATCACACGAGAAAATAGTTGACAGGAACATCACATTTGTTGCGCTGGAAGGCTCTCTGATGTTTAGTTCATCTGACTAGTATCCCTGTGAATTTGTATTTCAACGAATTATTCCATTTACAAGAGCGTAACTACACAGAGCCAGGCACTTAGAGCAGATTCTGTAGTCTGATCTGCTTGAAAACATCTCTGAACTAACCAGTGGGACACTCTCCTTGGGTAGGGCAATTTGTGAGGACCTTCCTGATCTTTCAGTGATAGATAGCAGAGATGTTTAGCATCCACACAGGTTCTGCTGTTACGGTTCTTTATTGTTCAAATAAATATTAATTCAGCACTCACACACCAGAACATCATAACTGAAGGAGTAACTTCTGCCCTGCCCGGAGAAATTTATAATGTATGACATCTCACAACTCACATTGCATCTTGCTTTCTCAAATCCTGATGTGACCAAGGTAACCTTACCCATGGCAAACTCAAAAATGTCGCTTTCCCTCTTCTTTTCCTCTTTTAGACTTTGTCTTGTTTAATGAGTGCATTGGCAGAAGAACAAAAATGAAGCTGGAAAGTGTGAAAACATGTACTCTGCTAAAGCAACAAGCCCTGCAAGATCCTTTCCATGGGCCAGCTCTGTACTGAGAATGGCAGCTCTAAGTTCCCCAAATAGTGCTTGTTGGAGCACCAGAGCCAGGCAGGAGCCCATGTTCAGCACCTTTACAGGCTAAAAGCAAATAACATGAAAACTCAGTTGTGTATTTATGGACACTTTTGGGAAGGGGAGAATGTAGCAAAAGAAGAGGAAGAGGAAGGTTGGGAAGAGGAAGGTTGGGCATCTCCTCATCAGAATTTTCCAAGATGCTCTAGTGATTTGGGAGAACTGTACTAAAAGCCAATAAAAAATGAAGTTCAATCACTTAGGTAGTTTTCAAGGCTAATCCTTATTTGCTGGAGAGAAGGAAGTTAATTTTTCTAAAATCACTTATGAAATACAGCAACTGCCAGCACAATTGTAAGTTGGCAGAAGCTGCATGAACGAGTGCTCTTATTTGCTTCCAGGTTGCAGCTGTACAGTTTGTAAGAGCTAATCCCTGCTACACCTCACTGCAAATGCCAGTTTTCCCAGTCAAAGACAGTATTCTACCACAGTTATATCCTTGTTCTACATCTTATGAGTAGGTGCTGGTAAGGTATTGGTGTATCAACCTTGTATGTTAAGAATTTTTACTGACTACTAAGTAGGAGACTTTGCTGCCATTTGAGCTGATTACCACTGGAATAAAAACTTTAAACCCATGCCAACATTTGTTTCTGTTCTGATCCAAATTTGACTACATTCTCAGCTTTAAGCACCTGCTTAAATCCTCTTGATGTCAAACAAAGTGTATGCATAAGCGTTCTCTCAGGCCAGGACAAGACCAATGAATGTAGATCTCAGAGATTACTTACCACGGAAAAAATGCCATATGTCCCGTTTTAATGTCATTACCTAGTAGAGTCGGTTTATTCATCCAGTTTTAAAAGCACTTTTGGAATACGCTAAACATTCTGTTCTCCAGACTCCAATACTGATCCTAGTTTATAAACGTTACGTGATGACTATTCTGCTTCAGTCCCTGTCACTAATGAATTGCAAAAAAAAAGAGAGAAAAAAAAAAAGCATGGTAAAAGAAGCAACACAAAGCAATCTTACCAACCAAAAATTAAAAGTGTTCTTGCACAACACATGTAACCTAATATTGCATCAAGTGGTTAACGAAGGGGTGTCTCCTTAATTATTTTTAGACTAAGCACATTGTACCAAGCATCCCAAGGCTCCACCATTCCCCCTTGAAGAGAGGTCTTCATCTCTCAATCTTTTGGGTTCCCCCCACTACCCCAAAGTATTCAATTGTTTATTTTCTCCAACCCTAGAACACAGCTCACAAATAGGCAGGCAATGGGCTGTCCCCCAGTGAATGCTCCCTCAAGTGTGCAGCAGCAGAAGCAGCAGAGGGGCCCTTCCTTAAAGGCCAGGGAGATGCTCCCACAGAAGATGAATGGGCCTTTTTCTCCCTTCCAGTTTCTAGCAGTGCTGCACATCCAAAACTGAAAACACGGGTGACAGCAGAGCGCGGGGT